AGGAACACAGCAATTGTCTGTTATTAGTCCAGGTTTAGGGTTAAGTATGTTATGTCCGATACAGGCATAGTATCCAATACAATAAACAATAGATGTAACTCTACAATGAAAGGATTCTCTGTTGTTTAAGAGAATGCAAGGAAAAAAATAACTGGTCACTTCCTTATAAGGCAGAAAGCTAAGAGAACTTTGCTGAATGGTTGGACCATCTCTGTTGGAAAGGATAGGCAGAATCAAGAGGTGTACAAAGACTGAAGCCAAAACGCATCCAGCATCCAGCTCTTGGAGATTTATCTAAGTGCTGAATTCTCTGGATCTCTCACTATCCTTCTTGATGGACCATATTCTGATCTTCCTGCCTGGGAGTAAAGAACATAATCTTCTGCATTTGTGCCTTGGTCACACCGTTGGGGTTCCACCTGCAGTATTGGTTTCTGCTCAGCTCATCCATGTAGAATGTTGGCTGTTTTCAGTTATTGCTTTTTGGAATCGGGTGTTGACTGGGTAAAAGGCAGGGGAGCAGGTACCCGGGTGAGCTATTGCTTGCCTATTTTCAACTTCCGTAAGGTCTCCCTCAACCTGCACCTAACTCCTGGTGGCTCACGTCCATGAGGTTTTCTTGTTGGCAATACAGTATTGGTGTGCCATCATCATCTTCTGAGATGTTGGTTTCCCATTCTACCTTATAGCCCTAGTATTCTCTGGAAGTCTCTCATCCAAATACTAACCAAACCTGATCTTTCTTAGCTTCTGAAAATAAGCTTGCCCAGGTGCTTCTGTTCAACTTAGGCATTTGTAAATAAACCAAACGGAATAGAAATATCATAGGTCTCCAGTAGGAGAGGAGAGTGGAGACCACCGTTCCAAAGGAAACTGAAATCAAAGTAGAGCGACCTTCCCTAACCTGGGGTCCAACGGATATATTGAACCCTATCATCCCCAATGTCAACTGGACAAACAATATTTAACTCCATATTTTTTTCTTATTTTAGTACGTTGCACCTACCTCTGCAGAGAATGGTCAGGATAAGGATGATCTGCATTGCCAAAGAAAGAAACAGTTTCTTTTTCTTACAAGGAAGAAGCATCATCCACGAAGTACTCCCATTTCCTGGCATCTTGTTTTAACCTGTTATTTATTTGAAAGGATGAGTTCTGTAATAGAAAGAGAAGCAGTGTGATCTGGTGTGCTCACAAGAAGCAAAAGAAATATCTTCCCTGATTGCAAGGGTCACAGAGATGCCTGGAGACCACAGATCTTTGAAGAACAAGTGCATCCAGAGGAAGAACTCATTCAATGATCTTAAGCAGACCACCTCATAACCAGAAGGGGTAGCAATGCAGGGCCACATTAACAGCCTGAAGTATTTTGGTAGTAAGATGGACGATTTAAGAAGTGACTTTGTGTACGATCCCATACTAAACAATAACAATAGTCACAATTACAGGTAGTCCTCAACTTGTGACCACAATTGGGACCAGAACTTCCGTTGCTAAGCAATGTGGTCATTGAGTCACGCCTGATTTTATGAACTTTTGTGCTGTGATCATTAAGCGAATCACATGGTCATTAAGCAAATCCAGCTTCCCCCTTTGCTTTGCTTGTTGGAAGCCCCCTGGGAAGGTCACAAATGGCAATCATGTGACCCCGGGATGCTGCAACCATCATAAATACATGACAGTTGCCAAGTGCCTGACTTTTGATCACATGACCGTCAGGACACTGCGACGGTCATAAGTGCAAGGACCTGTCATAAATCACTTTTTTCAGTGCTGTCATAACTTTGAACAATCATTAAATGAATGATTGTAAGTTGAGGACTACCTGTATTAACCCTGATCACAATTATCATTTGACACTGTTGTCTTCCAAACCTGTGTCTGCATGATATTTTGGCATACCTGGATACCACACTCTGGTCTACAGAAGAAGTGATGTGTTCTTTTCTTTTTTCTTTTTTTACCTTAAGCAAGAGCTTACTGTAACTTAGTTGGGAAAGGGGTTTTACTGAACTGCAATTACTATTAATAACTTTGAAGCAGTTAGCCTTAGGGTCAGAGAAAATTTTGTTCTGTGGATAAGCAAAATAAAGAGACAGCACAGCTTAGCCTTGGTTCCCCACTTCCCCTTAGTGAGATTCTGGTTCTCTTCAAAATAACTGCCAAAAAGAGGAAGTATAGACTCAATTGGTTTACTTCATCGAAACAAACTCTCGAACTTCTTCCTGAATTATTTGAGTAATGCTATATTCAAAATATCTTTGGGTGTTTTTTCAACAATTTCTTCCAATTACATGGAAAAGGAACTGCTGTTGAATGTTTGCTCAAAGGAGATCATGTGGGTGAACTTCTAATAGGTAAGGTGCACCTTCTTCCACTGACTTGCAGAGTGGCTGAAAGGTGTGTGGGTATCCTGTTTGTCATTGTACAATCCTCTTCCCAGGCAATTTGTGATGGTATGTTTACAACTGGAGATTCACATTTTAAGTAACTGATTTTCCTGTATAATAAGTTAAATTAAGAGAACTGCCTACTTACCAACTCATACAGTAGCCATTAAAAAGAGACTAAGAACTTGGGAAATCAACTGAATTTTAGAAAAGAAAACAATCCAATTGCTGTGACTTCTGTAGCTTTATCCTATCTCCTTCCAATATCCTCTTGGTAAAGAAACTCTGAAAGAATCTTTCTTTGAAGGTCAGGCAGCCTTCAAGAACTTCAGATCTGGTGCCTCTTGAGCTTCCAGCTAAATCTAAGGCAGAAGTGTAGGATTTGGAGCTTCAGGACTATCTACAGTGCATCAGAAAGTTCCCAAAGTTGTTATGGAACTACATTTTTTTTTAATATGACAGAAGGAAAAACGATTACACATATGTGGACAGTAATCTTTAAACTATACTGAAGGTTAATTAAACATAAATAAAATAAATCTAAATTAATTTTTGTTCTGCAGTTACCCACTATTTTTGGAGTGTTGCCCCAGAATACCACTCCAAGGACAAGCATAATCATTGTCAAGAGAAGGCATGACCGTGCTGCTGCCCTGTCAGGCTTGTCCATGAAAAACCGGGCTGAAACCAATTAAACAGGCGCACCAGAATTTATGAACTTCTGTTAAGTGATTTATTGTAGGAAAACTAAGAAGCCATTAAGAAACAATCCCAGGAACTGCTGTGTATCAAAAGCAAGTCCTATTTATAGTGGAGGTATAGTAATCATATTTCTGTGCCTCTTTCTCTAGCATGAGCTATGTAATAGATTGGACAGACTCCCTTTTGGGTGCAAGGCCTGGTTTCCCTCTGTCCCTCATTTTGGCAGTGGATTGTGCTGCTGTCTGGTTGCTGTATGAGAACTAACTCTGACATGTCCTAAGGGAAGAAGAAACTCTTCCCCTGGAGCTCTTACGCCCTTATCTCAGTTATGAGGTGGCAGAGGGCCATGTGAATGTTCTTTCACCCTGTAACTAGGCTGCAGCCTCTCTGTACTTTGGTTCAGTACCCAAGGATGAAGTCCCAAGGGAATTCCTCCATGGATCTTTTTCAGATTAGGAAGCCAGAAGAGCCAAAAAGCTTGCAGAGTGATGAAGACACAGATAATAGAATGCAGCAGCAGCTGCGTGCTCTGAAACCTTCGACAGTAAACCTCTAAAACACCAGCGGAATAATTCATAAAAAAAACATTGAAAGCATCCTTAGAACGATGTAGAAGAATCAAAGACTTCTTGCATTGCAAAAGAAAACATTTGAGGAGTGAGAAGACAATTGCCAGTATTATTTTTACACAAGACCCCACTGTGTTCAGCAATCCTGGCTTCCGGTTCAAGGTGGAGTTAACATCCAGATTTAGTTCTGGTTCACAAAAGAAAGCATCTAAAACCAGTTTTGAGAGCCAGTTTGGTGTAGTGATTAAGGCATCAGGCTAGAAACCAGAAGACCATGAATTCTAGTCCTGCCCTAGCTACAAAGCTGGCTGGGTGACCTTCTCTCAGCCCTAGGAAGAACACAGTGGCAAATCACATCTGAAAAACCCTGCCAAGAAAACTGCAGGAACTAGTTCAGGCAGTCACCAGGAATCAACAATGACTCAAAGGCACACAAACACACACACACACACAAAATAGTTTTCTCTAATACCAATATCAGGGTTTATGTTCTGAATTATTTTGAGTCAGTGGTTACCCAGAAGATCAGCACTCAAATGAAAATACACCATGATGTTCCTCAGAAAAGTTACTTAAACTCACCACTAGACTATATTTTGGTTCCGTGCTCCAGATTTCTTTCTTTCTTTCTTTCTTTCTTTCTTTCTTTCTTTCTTTCTTTCTTTCTTTCTTTCTTTCTTTCTTTCT